ACAGACAGACAGACAGACAGACAGACAGACAGACAGACAGACATACATACATACATACATACATACATACATACATACATACATACATACATACATACAGACAGACAGACAGACAGACAGACAGACACACACACACGCACGGACAGATTTTGTTCGTATGAGTATAAAACCTCAGGGGACACAAAAGACACAACCCGCCTCTCGAAAAACCTTTTGGTTTAGTAAGAGTTTTACGCACGGCACTTGCAACACAATAAGGTCAAATAAGTGCCGAAGATTAGAGGTGTTACAAGAGAGTAACATACACAAAAAAAGAAGGATGAGGAGAGATAGGACGATATATGTTCGACAGGAAAGAAGAAGCAAACCCCACCAGAGCACCCTCCAACCACCCGCTGCTAGAGGAATCAAACTACCGGGGGAGACATAGAACGTATACACTCTAGGATAATATTAAGGAAGAGACGGCTAGACTGGCAGGCTAGCCATACTTATGATGGCCGAATTGTAAATCAAATTTTAGTTTACAATACCTGAAGTATTTATATTTCAGACGAACCCAAAAGGTGCCTTACTGACATGCATGATTTTAAACCTGAATAATTACTAGATTAGATCTAATGAGACCTGTGTGTGTACTCCAAATGTTTCGGTCAATAGGGCCAAATGTAGATCTAAGTACGGCTAAACAGGCACGCTAGACGTATTTAAGTACGGCTCGCCACTTCATAATATCAATATTATTATATGTCAACCCGGATGTAATGAACTGAAAATCAGGGTATCATCTCTGACTCAAAAGTTGGCGGGTGCTCTGCTGTGGTTTGTTCCTTCTTTCCTATCAAACATATCGCCGTCACCCCTCCTCATTTTTCTCTTCTTTATACGTTATACTCTTTTGTAACACCTCCAATCTTCGGCACTAACATGATCTAGTCGTGTTGCAAGTGCCGTTTTAAAACTGTTACCAAAAACCACACCAAACTGAAACAAAGAAACAAAACAAAACAAAACAAAACAAAATACAAATATATATATATATATTTCCCAGCACACACACACACTAACCACACCCACCTTCCTGAAACTACCACTAAAATTAATTGTTGAGAGCAACCTGATTAGAGTACTGTTGAATAGTCCAGGCTTTGGCCAACGAGTCAGTGTAACCCACAGAATTCTACACTCGAATTCTGTGGTGTAACCCCACTACTACTACTACCTTTCCTTTCCACTCTACCTGGCAGAACTGAGGGCTGACCTGGCGATTCAGCACCTGTTGATTTGTTTATAAACAAAACTCTTCGTAGCGCTCGTACAACTGGGCTTCTACACGTGGCCACACCGGCGGCTTGTTTCTCTGGGAGCACGGTTTTATGACCACACACACACACACACACACACACACACACACACACACACACAC